TAGCTAAACATGAGTAGATCGCTGGTGGATCATCTGTGCCTCTCTGTTTCAGATGGATTACATATACATAATCAGATAACATTTATTAAATATTTAGACATTTAAAGCTTTAGACATATTTCTTATCGTGACTGAGCTGAGACAAGTGGCTTTCGGTTCATTTTTGTGATGCGTAGTAGACAGACAAACTTTTTTCGTTAGCCTATATGAATAAAAGTTTACAGTTTTGAATGATGTACTCATATCTGTATGACCAAAAAATTACGGAGTATATTAAGTTCTTTTAGCTGATTACATTTGGGAATCCGGACATTGCTGCAAATTGCCTTTTGATATTGGCCTGTTCCCAAATAGTGTAAGGAAACTGTATGTATCGATTTGTCATTGTAATAATCCCTTTCAAAACAGCAGGCATTAAGGAGCTCATAGAAGGCTGTGAAATCCCAGACCTATGTCAAATGAACAGAATTATAAGTTTCCACAAGAAGCTTTGCGCAGAAAAGCTATCGGCTAACTCCCGCTGGTAACTCCCGGTTGCCAAAAATCCTAAAACTGAAAGGACTTGGGTTGGTTCCGGGATGGCGTGGTTTCGTGTAGTTGGCCTTTGTAATGTTGGCCCCAATTCAGCACACAGATCCAAGAGCATGGCTCTAGGGAACCTAATTAGCCAGTCATCATCGTGGGCCAGGAAATCTTCATGGTCTCTAAACACTCTTTCCCTCCTAAGTCTGCCATTGGCATAGTCCTCCTGCAATGCCAGCGCATCCATAATGCAATAGGCTACTACATGCAGAAGTGTCACCGTAGTATTTATGTTTACATCGATCACAATCAATCCTTTACACCAGTGGTCTCAAACTCGCGGCCCATTTTGTGGCCCCCTACTTGACATTAAAGCTTCAATTATGTATGCGCCTACATTTGAAATAACGAACTTGAGTGCGCAAAATATGTGAGCGCGATATGTAAACGGCCCCTTGGTGAGCTACCACCAATCAGGCCACGAGCGACGTGTTGGAGACCCCTGCTCTAAAACAATGTGAGAATAATCATTTTGAGCTTGTAATATGTGTCCAACAGGTTGATAAGAAGGTTTGCTTTGATTTGTGCAAAGCCAGTAATTTGCCTGAGACACTATAGATGTGTAGAAAGAATTCAATAAGACGGGCAGACACGACTGCAAATATTTGTATTTCAAAAGCAATAATTGTTTTTCTAAGTATAATAAAAGGAAATGTGCTTTCCAAAAAAACATCCAATATCATATTAATGTGTTAAAGAAAAAGGACATGAGCAAATATAAGTATCACAAAGATGTGTTATAAGGAAAAGACAAAGAAAGTTTGTAAAATGAACTTCAACTGTCAGAAGGACAGCTCATGAAGAACCAATCATGTACAGAAAGGAATGTTCAAATTCAGAGGAACAGTTCAGAAGAAACGTTAATAATAAAGATTGAGAAGATTGGATCAGTTGTGCTCCTTTTTTGGAATACTTGAATACAATTTTTTTGTGGAATACTTGATGCGGCCCAGCCTGACCCAGACTCTCCCTCCAGCGGCCCCCAGTTAAGTTGAGTTTGAGACCCCTGCTTTACACATTGTCATACCAATCAGACAATGAGTGGTAAACCCATACGCCCACCCATAGATCATTAGAAAATGAAAGTTAAGGAAATTTAATTTATGTACTTTTATTTGATTATTTATTCCCATTTATTTATTTCAATTGGTTTTGTGAACATGCATGTATTTATGATTAGGACGCATAATGAGGTTTAAAAGTGATTTGTATGTTTATGGTAATATGGATATATGCGCAACTTTTCAAGTTCAATATTTTTAATTTCATTCATCTGCCGTCAATCCCTCAGCTTACCATCGGTGTCGCCAAACTGCTCCGTCTTTTTTTTTTTAATAAAGTTCTTTTATTTTTTGTTTCACTTTGTTTTGTTGCGATCTGTTTTTTAAGAAACTTTTTCTATTTTTACTTCTTTTGGTGCTGCGTACTGTCAATTTTTAAGAATTTCAGCCAGTGTTTTGCCATGGCTTCCGCTGTTTCCGGTGTCCAGTGTATTTGGTCTTCCACTGTTCTGAACTGACGCGATGGCAAGAGTGGGACGTGTTGGGTTTTTTCTCCAAGTATGTTATTGAGGAAGTCAAGGTTCTCTTGAATTCTGATGGGTAATCCTCTGTTGTAATTGACTAGTTGGAAATAAGCATTGGCCGATGGGAATGTAGATTTAATAACGCCTTGCAGCCTTTCGATGGTTTTTCCAAGGATCGTGGGATTGCCCTGTTCCCTGACGTTGAAGCCGAAATTTATTATTACCAGTTGGGTATCCGGGTTTGTCGTAGTCTTATTTTTGATAATATGGTACGCGTGCGCCAGCTTCGCTCCCGGGTAACTAACTACCTGAATTTGGTCGATGTTAATCCTAGGTAGACGGGACAGGTTTGAATCACCCAAAAAGAGGATGGGTCTCTTGGGTGTCAGGGACCAGTTGGTGCTCTTATTTTGTTTGCAAACATGCCGTTCGAAAAGGCCGTATGTCTGGGTGTCCGACCCGGTCTGGGGTTTGGGACAATGTGGTTCCCTAATTTCTGTTGAGCCACCCCGAGTCTGGGCTTCTTCTATGCTGGTTGTTATTTCTTTTGAATTAGCAGTCGACGTGTTAGGGGATTGGGTCTCCTTAGTGGGGTAGAAAACTTCCTCCTCCTCCTCCTCCGATTCCCCCGTGGTAACTGTGTGGGATTTTATGTTTTCCTCCACCGATTTTCTTTTCTTTGAGGCGGGGTCTTCTCTATTTTCTGCCGTTTCATTTGCTAATTTTCGGCGGGTACCCCCCACGTTGCCGGATGTGGTGGCTTCGGTCGGTTTCTCGAGGTTCGTAAAGGTTTGGACCGCTTGGGATGCTTGTTCTATGGTGCTGTCCCTTAAGGTTTTAAGGTTTTTTCTCCCCCATTTTATTGCAATTCCCCAAGCCTCTTCCCATCTATTCCTCGTTGTGTTGGTGATTTTATCTTGGGTTAGGACCAGACACTCTGAATAGTGCTTTTTAAGGATCTCTACCCCTATCTGGAGCCAGTTCTGGGCATTTCCAAAAATCAGATCCTCCGTGCCCCGATTCATGGCTAAAAGAGCCGGTTTTATGACCGAGTTTAGCTCGTTCGTGATGAACTGGAGACGGCGTGGTTTCGTGTCATTGGCTTCGCCCTCCCTCAGGGTCTTCTCATGATGGAAGGCTCTGAGGTACGTGTAGAAATCCCTAATAAGTATTTTGAAGTTCTCGTCCGTAGTCATAGTGCAGTTTTGGTGTGTCCTAGGGACAAGATATATAATCGATTAATAACGAATTTGTTAAGAGATTTTTTAAAAAAAAGAGTAGTCTTTATAGGATATGCTTTTATGGACCAGAAAGTGTTAGACCTGTCTGGGCCACCCACTTTCCTGCCTGTCTGGGCATTTGGTCCATTCCCTAAGCCTGATCTCTACTCCCTCCAAAAACTAGAGGGGGAGAGACCCGGCAAGGGAGACACATCCAGTAAGCAAATAATGTGGTGGTGTGATTATGTATATTATGGACCAGAAAATGTTAGACCTTTTTGAGGGATTTGCGAATATTGTACTTATGTTGGTATAATCTACTTCTAATTGAATTTTTTGTTGCTCGACTGACATGCTTTCTTCGGTCTGCCTTCTGGGCGCGATAATTGGTCTGAAAGAGAATAGAACAGAATAGGTCTATTAATTCCTTTGTATGAAAGGTAAGATCAATTCCGACAGCTCTGGCTAGGTTAGGTGTTAGGGGAAAGTACAGTACCACCTCTGCAGAAATAGGTAGTTGTCTCATTTACACGCAGGCGCAGAACGCGCATTCTAGCTGACAGTCGGCTGTAGTTCTCTCGGTGTGTTGAACAAACAAATATCCCCCCCCCCCCCCCCTCGGTTTTCAATAATAACATCGTGCACACAACATTGTTTTAAAAAAAGTCGTCATTTACATAAACACGTAACATAAGCCATCGAGCGCCATCATAACTATGCCAAACTGGGCGCTCACATGACGTTAAGCATTTTCTGGCGCATAATGTGACGTTTGAGAACCTAAAACCCTGTTTCTCTCAGTTGACACGGCAACACATAACCAGTGTTATCAGAAATCTCCACTTTGGCCAGAGTTTTTAGAAATAATCGTTTTCTGTGATAAAAACGGGGTTTTCGTGTAAATGAGAGGCCAAACCGGAGGGAAATATCTGCGTCTTCCCTTCGTGTAAATGGGGCATAAAATTAAATATCACTTCACTAACATCTTTTGATTTGTTTTCCTGCTGTCAATTGTATATTTTACAATTGGTGTATGTTTTGTATTTACAATTTTGTTATTTCAGACACAACTTGTAGAGGGACTTTTATTTTGGTGTGGCAATATGACGTCATATATCCTGGCTCTGTTGTCACTCGGCTGAAGAAAGGTTTGTGTTTTAGACATTAAAGTGTTTAAATCGATACAGACTGTTTAATACATATTATAGTTTATAAGCAATGTAAATTGAATTATATTTTTTTTGCTAAAAAAAGTGCATTATACGAGTAACAGAAAAGGTGTGTCTCATTTCTCTTCATATATCGTGAATAATTTTAGTATAAACAAGTAAAGTAGTGAAGGAAAAACAGCTTTTCTAAACTCTGGAGTTGGATTAAATGCGTCTCAAAATGATTCAGTGATTTGCACTGACGAAAACAGTGTAAATGCAACGAGAAAACAAACATCTGTAATGACAACGTTAACAAACCAACTAATGTTCTCATGAAAATGTAATTATTAAATATATTCTATAAAACAATAAATACCAAATGGAAAGAAGAAATGGTTGTGTGTGTGTCCGCGTGTGTGTGTCGTTGTTGTTAATCAGGACTACTGAACTAGAGCTGATTGAGACCCAGAGATTTAGTTTGGATTTATTTTTCTTTCTGTTAATTATTCTCATCTTAAACAGGACAAACACAGATAGAAACTCCTGGTGAAGCGACTGAGATCCACGAGACACTATTATAAAGATGGCGTTTATTAAAGAGGAGAGTGAAGAAATGAAGATTGAAGAAACATTCAGCATGAAACAACAAGTTACTGAGGAACAAACAAAGATCGCATTTATTAATAAGGAGAGTGAAGACCTGAGAATTGAAGAAGTATTCAGTGTGAAACATGAAGATACAGAGGAACAAACAGGTTGGTTTCATTTTCAAAGCTGAACTCAGTCTTTTGATCCTTATTGAAATGTCCAGGAAAATAATACATAAGTAATCTAAAATATATATATATTTTAAGTGATCCTAAAGGTTCTGCTATTTAGAACACAATTTAAAGCAGAATTATCCTGCGTCAAGCAATCCTCACTGTAGTTAAAACATTAAAACTCAGCATTACACAGGAAAAGGTTCAAAAGCAGCGCATTCACTACAAATAGGCTGTTTCTATTTAAAATATGAACATTTTTGGATAATATAAAAAATTCTGGATAATGAAATTTCAGTGCTAAAACTCCATTAATAAGAGTGGCGTATTTAATCTAAATGTGTATGTCCGATGTAAAACAGAGTTTAAATCATTCTGTTTACCTCATTACTTTGCTCACTCCAGTAATATTGTATTAGACCTGTTTTACAATGTCAATAAGATATTGATTGATATTATAACCCAATTCGGAAAAAGTTGGGACAGTATGGAAAATGCACCAAAAAAATGTCATTTGAAAATTCAATCAAAATTCAATTCAAATTCACTCTGTACTATATTGAAAACACATTATCAACACATTATTTGACGTTTAACCATATGAATTTTAATTTATTTGTGAAAATATACACTCATTTAAAATCTGATGACTGCAACACACTATGAAAAAGTTTGGACAGCCAACACATTGTTTACTCGCCTGACTGATTAATGGCTGGATGAATAATAAAGTTCAAGTTCAGTTTATTTTTATAGCAGCCACTGACTGACCAAAGTGCTTTACAGAACTACAAAATTAAAAGACAATTATACCATGCAATTAAGTAATAATCTACTAGTTTACTCATAAAGACAGTCCCTTGGTGCCACCTAGTGGCTTAACAATGTAACAAGCATATCCCTACTAACAGACTGTTTCTCAAGATAGGCCTATATTTTATATAAAATCAAATTTTTTGAACAATAATAGCTATTATACAAGTATGAAAAGGTTGTTACAATATGAAATAATCACGAAAAATAAGCAAGAAAACAATTTATGTGCTGATTAATCTAATTAATCGCAAATCAAAAAGATAATTTAAAGTAGGCCTACGTGTGTGTGTGTGTGTATATATATATACACACAACGGTTCATTCTGGTTCTCGAATCTGATTGCCTTTTCGAGCCATACGATGATATGTTCTGTGTGTGTTTTTCAGTGTAATGCTTTGCAGGATTCATGTTCTCCTTTACACAATTAGAATTCTACTACTATTAGAAATATAAAATTCACTAAGGCAGTGATTCTGAACTCCAATCCTCGGGACCCGCTGCTCTGCACATTTTGTATGTCTCTCTTATCTGACACACTCAGTTCAGTTCATGGAGCTCTCTCCTAATAAGATTATGATCTGGATCAGGTGCGTTAAACGCATGCTCAGTTCATCAGCTCATCGGTTCTCAGTATGTCGAACGTGTCCGAAAGAAACCATTCTCGGTTCTGTACTGGTGATCCGAGAACCGCTGTACCTGTACGTTCGGTAGTACACGCATGCGTAGTGTCAGCTGCTCGTGCTCATCACTTCTTTCAGCACAACATGTCTCACTTCAGTTAACTGTTGGAGTTACTGGAGTAAAATATACTCCGGGATATTGGTTTATTTCGAGTCAGAGGGACTGTCAGGCATGTCCGAAAGTGAGTAACTTTAGTAACTTGTGGATCAGCGCTGACGCAAGACGCAAACTGTTTCGAACGATTCAGTCCGATTTAGTGTACTGGTTCGACCGGTTCACTAAAAAGAACCGCTTCAAAAGAACGATTCGTTCACGAACCGGACATCACTAGTGTCTTTTGCTTAGTCTCAAGGCCTTGATATACTCAAGGTGAAGTTCTTTGCTTAGGGGTAAAAAGAAGTATGAAATACAAGACCAACGGAATACTGCTAGTGAACATCCCGATGTGCGGCATGCTTTTCTATCAATAACAAGATAAACACACAACAGTAATGACAGCAGTTTAGAAAGCTTAGAGCCATACAGATGTTTGCACAAGCTCTGCAATTAGACAGATCAGTAATGTCATGTTAATTTATATAACACTTAATACAATAGATATCTTTAAACAAGCAGCTTTATAGTATTATACGTGGGGAAAAAAACAGTGACTGTCGTTTTCAATTAGAATTACAACTTAATTTTATATTATAAAACGGCTCTCAATATGTGTACTAGAGCAGGGTTTCTCAACCTTTTGCCTACTGCGACCCACTTTTCTTTTGTATGCCAGTCATATGACCCACTAAATAAATCTTGAATCACTGAAATGCCTCTTTAGATCTATAGGCTACAACGCAGGCCTATATGCTTATTATAATTAATGATAATCACGAAAACACACAAACATGTTCAATAATTAGGCAGACTATGAGGCAAACTGATTTTTTTTACTCACGTTAATGTGATAGCCTTGAGACTGCCGCTCTGATCAGGCCAGACGCAGTGGAATTTGTAAAAGTGTGACTCATAGTGTCGCACACAAACTGTTGTCAGCCTATTCCTGCTTTGTTTTCGTTGCAGTCACTGTTGATAATCCCGACTCACAAAGATACCATAAAACTTTAAATAATAGCCCGGGCTTTTATTTTCCCAAATCGTCGAACTGCACCGGCTTGTAGGCCTATTTGAGACAGGCGTCTATATGAGACAGGCCTTTATAATTTAGTGTTGAGATGTTGTTCATTGAGATGTTGTTCCTAGAGTCTCTAATCTCTAAAAATCTCCAAATGCTCCACGTGAAACTGCGGTCTTCCAACCTTTTACTATCGTGTCAATTGATTTTGATTAATATGCGCGAGGGATCAGTGTTGCCAACTATTTTCAAAGGAAAGTAGCTAACGCCTTCCCTAAAAGTCGCTAAATGTCGCTAGATGACGTCATACGTCAATTAACATATTAATTACGTCATCGCGTCGTACTTGCGTTCTGTCAGCCTAGTGCGTTTTCTCTCTAAATTAATGCTCTATTTAATATAATATAGCCGAATGTCAAATAAAGCTGTTCTCATTTCCTATTTTGTTGTTGTCAGAAAATAGAACGAGTATAATATAGTGAATTATTACATTTTTTATAGGCCTATGTAGAACATTATCTGAATTGAGAGAGTTAGAGAACCGGATTAACTAAGCTATGTGATAGTGAGTGTTACAAGTAATAAGCACAAGAAAATAAATAAAATGAAAATGGTCAAGCTAAATTCTTTAAATATAAAACAAAAGAAAAGCAGATAAGTGATCAGTCCGTGGAAAAACACTGCTCATTCGCGTCTGTCGGCGGCCGTGCGCTCCTCTCAGCCATTCACTGAACAGGGGAGACGCAGCTAGAGAGAGTGACGACAGGGAGAAAGCAAGACCTCGCGCTCGCAGGACAGTACTGGCACCATTTGGAGGTTACTGAGGTTTGTCCAAAAAGTCGCTAAAATTGTCGCTAGTCGCTTTTTTGAAAAAATGTCGCTGAAGGGGTCTGAAAAGTCGCTAAAAATAGCGACAAAGGCGCTAAGTTGGCAACACTGCGAGGGATAGAGAGCAAGACAGCGCTCGTGTTGTTTGAAGACGTGAGTGCGCGCGCGCGGCCGGGGCGCTCTCTCTCTCTCTCTGCTCGTTATGCACTGTCAAGCGCAGCAAGCGGACGCTCTGACGGGTTTTAGAAGATTAAATACAACCCGAAACTAAAAAACAGACCCGGCTTCTATTTGAGACTGGCCTTTATTTACCCAAACCTGTCGCCACACCAGGCGTGTAAAAGAGACAGTATTCGGGACTCGGCTATTATTTGAAGTTTTACGGTAGTAGTGCTAAATGGGAAGAGAAACTTCGTTGCACAATCTGCAAGTTGTGGATATTCATTTCTGGTTTGAATCCAAGCAATGAAAATAGCCTATGATTCGTCGGAGGATCGGCTACGTTTACATGCACAACTTTTGTTTCAATCGGACTGAATTAATTCCGATTGATGAATCTGAATGTAGTGTTTACATGAACGCTAAACGTGCTGGGGTTAATGTGCGCGTTTATATGTCACAAGATTCAAATCGAATTATATGTTTTTGACATGCGCACACTGCACGAATATACAGAGTTTCCCGCTGTTTGCGCATACTAACTATTCTCTTACATTGGTTCTTTATTTGTTTTAAACAGCAGACTTAATATTTATCCATTGCTGGTCATAATTTGGAGACAATGAGCATATGAACCGTTGTGCTGTGCCCGTGCTGCTTATTTATCACGCAGTAAAAATGCCCAGCACCCAAAACCAGTCTGTGAATGAGAGTCTGAAACAAGGACTGGTGGGACGTTGTCCTGCTCCACTTCACAGACGCTGAGTGAAAGGAGAATTTTAGAATGATGGTACGCTCATTTATACGACACTTTACTCAAAAGGAAGAACAGCTCGTTCAGCGCGTCATACATCATTATGCTATGCGCAGTCCTTTAGTTTCGGTTTTCAATCCGATCAAGCGTTTATGTCCTCCCAGTTGGATTAGAAAAGGAATAAACCACCCCTTTCAATCGAATTGAAATTTTATTTGGATCGAGCTCAATCGGATCGATTAAGGTGTTTACATGAAGGCTTTTTAGTCCGATTGAAACGTCAATGCGTTTACTAACGGATTATTTGGATTTGGTTGCATGTAAACGTAGCCTGTTGCAATGAGCCTTTTGTGAAGCCCACTTATTGGCTGTGCCGGTTAACACAGAGAAAGTCTCGCGACCCCCTATGGAACGAACAACGACCCACTAGTGGGTCGCGACCCCCTGGTTGAGAAACACTGTACTAGAGCTACAGCGAACTTTTCCACAAAGTTCCCAAAACTATCTCCAAACGAACTTCGTTATGGCCTGATTTTGCTTCAATTTACATCACACCAGTTTGCTCTTCGATTTCACTTGAAGTATATCAGGGTCTTTAAAGGCTGAATTCTTTTTTTTCTTTTTTTTAAACAAACGTAGTCATTTTGAAATGGGGGGGAAAAACCAAGAAAGATTATCACATATGTCGATTGTAAATTATGTGGTATGTAAGACTCTTGTTTTCTCTTTGCATGTGTGTGAGAGAGAAACAGATCGCTCTAAGCCAAGCCGTGGGGAAACAGAGGACCTAATACTGAGCCCAGTGGCACACCATCCTTGTGATTGATGAGATTTGCATTGTTTGATGAGTGGTAGCATTTAGACAGGACTTAAATCATGTTAATGTTTGTCCACAAATGCCAACATAATTCTCAAGCTAATCAAGATAATGCCGTGGTCTATGTTGTTGAAAGATCTAAACCTGAACAAAATTATAAACGCAACACTTGTTTTTGCCCCCATTTTTCATGAGCTGAACTCAAAGATCTAAGACTTTTTCTATGTACACAAAAGGCCTATTTCTCTCAAATATTGTTCACAAATCTGTGTTAGTGAGCACTTCTCCTTTTCCGAGATAATCCATCCACCTCACAGGTGTGACATATCAAGATGCTGATTAGACAGCATGATTATTGCACAGGTGTGCCTTATGGTGTGTTCACACCGAACGCGAATTTAATTATTTGCGCGAGTAGATTACATACAAAGTCAATGCAAAGACACGAATAGACGCATCATTCGCGCCGGGCGTTTTTCAAATTGAAAAATTTGAACTCGAGCGGAAGATTCGCATGACACTTTGTTGCACCAGCCAATCAACGAAGAGCTAATTGATACGTCCGGTCTCTCACTGTTGTCGAAAATGGAGGAGATGCTAATTGTTGCCGTCTGTGGGTACCCTGAAATATACGATACAACGTCGTCTGCTTACAGAGACTGGGCAAAAAAGGAAATAGCTTGGAGAAAAATAAGCAAGGAAGTTGGACTACCTGAGTGATGAAAATATACACAGATGGTGCTGTGAACCCAGACACGTTGGCGTTTGGCTTTCCTCCGTATTTGGGACTTCCACAACAAGTAGAGAGCAGCAATATCTTTTATTTCAGACATGACGGAAACGTATGCCAGAAAGAAATTGTGTTGTTTTTTTTATTCGTGAGTGATGCGGACGCGTATTTGACGCTCTATTCGCGTTCGGTGTGAACACACCATTAGGCTGGCCACAATAAAAGGCCACTCTAAAATGTGATAAATTAATGTAAATAATTTTGTTCAGTGTCATAGCACTTAAAGAGAGCTGTAACCTTAATAAGTGCAGTTTCTGTATTATGATGGATCATAAATCTTTGAAGCCAACCCATTAAAACCGGATCACACATCTGTGTGTGTTTACCTTTAAGACCGGATCGTGTGCGTAGTCACCATTAAGCCCGGCAAACGCGTCTGCGTCATTTTGATGTTTTTATCATGTTTTTATTAAGTGCAACATTGTAAAAAATAATGTTGTCTTTGTTTTAAAATCAAAATCACAAGAAATTAAGATTTTAGTAGGCTTTGACAAATTTTGACAAATATTTCTGGAAACCCTTAGGTTTTGGGAGGGGGTTTACAGAAAAGTACTTGGGCATAAAAAGGCCTTTTTTAGCAGGCGTTTTAGGCCTAAATGGGTTAAACTGTGGTTAACTTGTATTTGTCTCTTTCACCTTAGACCTGGTGCCATTGAAAGAAGAGATTGAAGTTCTGAATGATACGGAAGAGAAATATGATGATTTCGTAACTGGAGAAAAATTTAATTGCTCACAGACTGAAAAGACTTCCTCACTAAAAAGACAGGACCTTGTATTGATTTTACCTGCCCTCAGTGTGGAAAGTTTTTCAGTCAACGTGGAAACCTTACAGTCCACGTGAGAATTCACACTGGAGAGAAGCCTTTCACCTGCCAACAATGTGGAAAGAGTTTCACTCAAAAAGGACACCTTGAAGTCCACATGAGAGTTCACACTGAAGAGAGCTCATTCACCTGCCAACAGTGTGGAAAAAGTTTCAAGAAAAAAGCAAACCTTACAGTCCACATGAGAGTTCACACTGAAAAGAGCTATTTTACCCACCATCAAACAGGAACTAGAAATGATTTTACCTGCCGTCAGTGTGGAAGGTATTTCAGTCAACAAGAAAACCTTAAAGTCCACATGAGAATTCACACTGGAGAGAAGCCTTTCACCTGCCAACAATGTGGGAAATGTTTTACTCAAAAAGGAAACCTTAAAGTCCACATGGGAGTTCACACTGAAGAGAGCTCATTCACCTGCCAACAGTGTGGAAAAAGTTTCAAGAAAAAAGCAAACCTTAGAGTCCACATGAGAGTTCATACTGAAAAGAGCTATTTTACCTGCCATCAGTGTGGGAAAAAATTTAAAAGGAAAGGACTCCTTAATTCCCACATTAGAGTTCACACTGGAGAGAAGCCTTTCACATGCCCTCAATGTGGATTAAGCTTCGCTCAAAAAGGAAACCTTAACAGGCACATGAGAACTCACACCGGAGAAAAGCCTTTCGCCTGCAACATGTGTGGAAAATGTTTCCTTCATAAAGGAAGCTTTGAAAGCCACATGAGAGTTCACTCTGGAGAGAAACCTTACACCTGCCCTCAGTGTGGAAAGAGCTTTACACATAAACCAACTCTTAATTCCCACTTGAGAATTCACAATGGAGAGAGGCCTCACACTTGCAAACTGTGTTATAAGAGTTTTACTGAAAAAGGAAGCCTTGAAGTTCACATGAGAATTCACACTGGAGAGAGTCCTTTCACCTGCCAACAGTGTGGACAGAGTTTCACTCAAAAAGGAAACCTTAAAAAACACATGAGAATTCACACTCGAGAGAAGCTACACGCATGTGAACAGTGTGGAAAGAGTTTCAGATTAACCCTTAATTCCCACGTGAAGATCCAATGCGGAATGAGTTCTCCAGACATGAAACACTTTAACAGGCACAAAATTATTCACTCCAGAGAGATGCCTTTTACATGCCACCAGTGTGGAAAGAGTTTTCTATTCAGTAAAACCCTTGAGATTCACATGAGGCTTCACACTGGAGAGAAGCCGTTAATGTGTCTTCAGCACGAAAAGAGTTTCACATATCAAAGAGACTTGAAACATAATTTCCAAACTCATTCTGCAAAGAAACGGCAGTGTTCTGAGGGTAGTAATAAGTTTAGAAATAATACATTTATTTTGCCATCACACTAACAGATACACCTGAAAAGTCTTGTTCTTTGTGCGGAAAGAGTTTCAAATGGCTTGGCCATTTAAAATGGCACCAGAAAATACGTGTATGTGGAAAATTAAGACTGCGTTCACAGCTGAATGTGAGCCAGATCTGAACATTCCTTATTCACACAGCCTGTTTTTAAGTTCTGAGCTATAAATCACTGTTATAGTGTAAAAATTAACTTGCACTAGTTAACAGAAGCACACAGTTCCAACGAACTACTTGCACAACCACTGCTCATCAAGAACCACCAATAGCTGATGACAGCTTATGGTTCTTCTGTATTTTGCGTGTTTAACCTTCAGAGCAAAAGAAGTTACCTCTATCCATTTAGCAGTTTTTCAATCTTATTCTGTCAAATTTAAATATGAACGGTAACATTTTAGAAGGTCTAATTTGTTAACATTAATGTATAAACTAACATGAACTAACAATGATCAATACATTTGTTAGAGTATTTATTAATCTTTAGGGGCTTTCGCACCGGGTAGTTCTAGGAACTTATGGCGCTTTTCCACTGCATGGTACGGTTCGGCTCGCTTCGCTTTTCCACTGCATGGTACGACTTGGCACGGCTCGGTTCGCTTTAGCTCAGTTTGCTTATCCACTGCAGTTAGTACAGCTTCAAAGTGGGTGGGATTATAGTCTGACCGTTATAGTTGTGACATTGTGCCAGCACAATGTCACCTGGAAACAGTTTGTTGAGGAAAACACTTTGCGCTGTTATATGTTTGTCACTAGCACGCCCACCCCACCCTTCGGATATTAAAGAAATTACACCCTGGGGTGTAATCACAATTAGGTATTTCATGGTGTATGCATGTTTATACTGAGAAAAAGTCTGTGCCCTTGCAAGTACATTTGAGGGTTTTTCAATAAAAACCTCAAAACAGTCCACAATGGCGGCCACATTTCTTCCGAACGATTCCCCAAACTGGTGTGGCATACTGGCCAATAAACTTTCTCTGCTTGGCTAGTACACCAATGCAGACAGCCGTGAGTACATCACACTGAGAGTATGGTGAAAGGCATCACTGGCTGTTGTCCTGTGCACCTGAAACAGATGGCCGAGGTGCTGTATTGGCAGGTCTAGTCTGAGGCGTTTATCTCGGTTATATCTGAACAGAATCTCAACTAGTTTTGTTAAAAACAACAACATTAATGGTTGGCCATCAAGTATTTTTGAAGAAGCAACAATTTGATAGATACAGTGCTAAGCATAAGGTGAATACTCCCATGCTAAAGTTGACTAAAAAATCTTTTGGAAATTGATCTTAATGCCTTTCTTTAAGAAAATGAGGAAAAATCCAACCTTTAAGGACACCAATTTTCTTTGTGAATGAATAATGTATCTTAAATACATAAATCAATCAATCAATACATTTTTATTTATAAAGCGCTTTACAACAACCAGAGTTGATCAAAGCGCTGGACAGAGACTAAAAGTACAGGACAAAAAATAAAAGAAGTGAAATACAAGACAATAAAATAAAATACAACACATCTATAAAATCATTATGCTAATCAGTGGTCCATCAATTGTCAAAAGCCGAACTAAAGAGATGGTGCTTCAGCCCGGCCTTGAACAGGGGCAGGTCCATGATGGAGCGTAATTCCAGTGGCAGAGCGTTCCAGAGTTTCGGCCCCGCTACCGCAAAGGCACGATCACCCCACTTTTTGCACCTGGACCCTGGGACCACCAGCAGATGTTGTTCAGAAGAGCGCAGGGGTCTGCTGGGCTGATAAAGGGTCAGCGTATTACACAGATAAAGAGGTGCAAGGCCATGGATGGAGCAAAAAACGAACAGTAGGATCTTAAACTGGATTCTGAACTCGACTGGGAGCCAGTGGAGAGAGTGCAGGACAGGAGTGATGTGGTCATGTTTATGGGTGTTGGTAAGAAGCCTGGCCGCTGCATTTTGGACAAGCTGTAGACGGTGCAGAGAGGCCTGATTTAACCCGATGTAGAGAGCATTGCAGTAGTCCAAGCGTGAACTAATAAAAGCGTGGATTGTTTTCTCGAAGTCACTACAGCTGAGGAATGGTTTGACTTTGGCCAACCGACGAAGCTGGAAGAAACTTGCCCTGATCACAGAGTCTACCTGTTTATCGAGCTTCAGACTACTGTCCAAAATCACCCCAAGATTCCTGACTACAAAACTGAGGTGGGTGGTCAGGGGTGCAAGATCGGGAGCTGCCTTTGTTGAACTAGAGGCATCAAATAGGATAAATTCAGTCTTTGATTCATTTAGACAGAGCAAATTTTGTGACAGCCAATGTTTAATGTCAACCAGACATGTCTGAATGGACTGTGTGTCTGGGGAGTTCTGGGCAACTGGCAGATAGATTTGTACGTCGTCTGCATACAGATGGAAAGAGACATTATGCCGGGATATCACAGAACCTAAGGGGAGCATGTACAAGGAAAATAGAGCAGGGCTAAGGATGGAACCCTGTGGCACACCAGAGGAAAATGGGGCTGGAGAAGAAGAGAGATCATTGATCATCACAGAAAAAGTTCTATCTGCAAGATATGACTTGAACCACTGCAGCACGGGTCCTTGAAGGCCCACCTGCTGGGCCAGACGGATCAGGAGGATAGAATGGTCCACCGTATCAAATGCTGCAGTAAGGTCCAGCATTACCAACAGCACAGGTTTTTTAGCATCCAAGGATAGCAAGATGTCATTCTGCACTTTTAACAGTGCAGATTCTGTGCTGTGGTGTGCCCTGAAACCGGATTGAAATTTAAAAAAAATGTGGTTTTGGTCCAAGAATGATTGAAGTTGTATGAAAATGTTCTTCCTTAAAATACAGGGGGCATAAGTAAGTACATCCCTATGTTAAATTCCCATAGAGGCAGGCCGATTTTTATTTTTAAAGTCCAGTTATTTAATGGATCCAGGATACTATGCATCTTGATAAAGATTCACTTTAAATTTAATAATTTAAACCCCAGTCAGAGCTTTTCTGTTAAAAGAACACGGTTTCTACCATGCGCACGCGCTCTCTACACTGCCGAAGAAGCGCGGATGATCTGAAAACACAGACAAGCTGGAGTTCAGCGATATTCATTTGAGATTTTCTACTTGTAATAAAGTGTCATTCAGTCAGTCTGTGTTCTGTCACAAGCCGCTTGCGCTGTTTGTGCGACTAAATCTGTGATCAAAATGCAGGCTGATATCCAGCAGTGTTTTTAATGTTGATCGATTGTAACCGAATGAATGAGATGAGTGGTGGTGATTGACGGTTGTGAGCACCAACCAGCAGGGAGTATCCACTATTTAAGAGCTGGTTGGTTGTGGCCTGGGATGCGTCACGTCCGGCTCCTCCCCGTTTTCTGTTGTTGACAGCCTGTCTTTTCCCCTCTCTGGTTCCTTCGGCTCGTTTTAAGTGGATTCTAAGACTGCTAACCTCTCAGGTATGTGCGAACTGTTTTATGGAAAGCAGATTGGTTGGCCTTGTGGGGTTTGGGGATTAGTTGATGTTTCGCGTTGTTTGCAGCATTCCCTGTATCTCAGCTGAACGGCAGTTATATGAATCCCGTATACCCGTGCCTGTAAAGGGAAAATAGAGCTTATCTCCATTTTTCGGTAAGTGTTGTCATGCACGTGGTTATATGCCGAAATTTTAGCAGGTGATGTATGCATTTTAGTAATTGTTTTCTGTGTGTATTTGTCTCAGGATTCTCTCTCTCGCTCGTGAGCGATTTGTCTCTGCTATAGTCGAAGTCCCGTTTGCCTCTCTGCTGCCATACTGCGAGAACGCCCTATCGTCCAGCTGTTCAGGGGGATTGTCGCTGTTTGGTTTCGTTAAATTATAGTTTAGTGTATTTTGGGGTTGATGTGCACTAATTTGTGAAATACGGAGGAAATCACCCCGCGGTTGCTTCCTTCCAGCTTGTCTACCCTATTATTTGAATTGAGTTAATTTGTTTCTTTTCTTTTTCTATTGTACTAAAATTTGTATATTGTTTGTGATTTATATGACTTTATCACTGCCTGCTCTTTTGATCATACAGTGATGTAATCAAATTGTGATTTATTGTAACTGTTTTAAAGTTTGTTCTAAGTTTGTTTTGTTTTCTTTCAGTCGCCGGGGTCCCACGGGTGAAGGGTCTCTTGTGGTGGTGGTGCTCCTCCTACGGTTGCCGTGCAACACTTTTGAAGTGTTTTGGTTGCGTGATCTGAGTGCACGGTGGTGTGTGTGTGTGCAAGTGTGCTTTTGACTAACTAGCTTTGTGATCACTTCTCCGTGGTGAACCTCGGCAACATTATCAAGCTGCAGATTCGGAGCCTGCTGCATCTACAGTCCCGCATTCTCAGACCCCTCGTTTTTCGAGACAGCGCCTCCTGCTGCTCGGAAGATCGTATAACACCCTTATCCAAATGCCATTGAAAACATTAGAATGCAATATTACGGTCTCTTTTTATTTAAAGGCACAATGTGGAACTTTTCAACCTTTATAATATATTACCAAAACCCATTGAGATGGTACATCGACTTACAATAGGTTGAATGACACGTCTGCCGAAGCCTGAAGGTGTCTGTATAGCTTTTACTAGCACTATGTAACTTCGGGTTTCGGGTAGGAACCCGAGCACAAAAAAAACTACAAAATTCGACCGCTTTACGGCATACGTCACTTCCCCCACCACCCCAACTTCCTCAAATTCTAACGTGAGAGCTCAACTCGCGTTTGATTGCCGGCGTCTGTATGTTGTCGTCATGGCTGAATCAACAGCTACTCGGAAGAAAGCAAAGATTTTGTCAGAGGAGACCAAAAAAAGAAAAAGGGAGAGTTTAAAATAAACATCGGCATAAAAGTGTATATATAATGTAATATTTACTGCGAATTCGTGTAATACTGCCGTATACAAATGTAAATGTAAATGTTTTTTTTCCTTTCAGCTCATATATGTTTGTATTTGTGTAAAAGGAAAAACAAACTGAAGACTACAAATAACGGAAATATGTA